CACACACACACACCCTGCTCCTCTCCCTGCCCTGCTTCCGCTTGCTGAGGGACACGTGTGTCGCAGCCCTCGGCGTGCGGCGCGGCGCCCCGGGCCGGCTCTGGTCCCGTGTAACTGCGTGTCTAACAACAAGAGCTGCCGCGCGGCCTTCGGCGTCGGCGCACAGCCCAGCCCCGCGGCACCGGCGCGCGCGGGAGCCCGGAGCAGCCCTGCCTGCACGAGTGGCATGGATGCATTCCCACCCCAGGGACTCCTGGCGCCCGCGAGGACCGGGAACCGTGTGCGGGAGGAAACACTACAGAGCCTCCCAGCAGCAATAAAACCAGTCCAACTAACCTCTACCTTGTCCCCAATTCTGTTAGCGCTTATAAGCTAGGTATCTGTGTGTTATAGGAAGCTTAACTTAGCCCCACCGCAAGAAATAATTATTAACTTTTTTTTTCTTCTGTCTACTGCTGGTTTCTCCATGCAAAAAAATCACCAACTGCAGCTTCTTTGCTGTAAAACAAACACTGCAAGAGCAAGAAAGTTGTGAAGGCCAAAAGACCTCGTTCAGCATCACTGCTCAGGGGATTATTTTTCTATTTTAATGATAAAAACATGGCAGAGCAAACTCACAGCTCAGCCCACTCCTATGCACGCTCTTGCTGTGTTCATTTTATAGTGCTAGTCAAGAAATACCTGCTTATGATCCTTACTAAGGCAACACTGTCATTTGGAAGCTGCTTGTGTTTGGTGTGACCCACGGTCTGCTGGAGCCGGGCGCTCTGTCCTGCAGCAAATCCCACTGCAAGGCACTCGGGAAGCAGAGGCCCCCTCCAAGGTCCTGCCTGGGGCCACTCCGCTGAAGAAACAACCAGAGCCTGCTTAGCAAGTCTAAACTGATGGCCTGATTAATTTTGCTACTTTCTGCCCATACAGAGCACACAATCTACTGCTACGCCTGTAGTTCATCAAATACGAGTCTGTTGCATCAATTCTTAAATAAGGAGTTAACTCCCTGCTGAACTCCACAGCTCCAGCTAAAGATGCCGTAGGGAAAGTCTCTCTGCAGGGCTGGACCAACAGTGCAAGCTGCAGACACCATCAGAGAACCTTCTTGCCTGACAGGTTTCTGGGTTCCTGAAAAATCCATCAAGAGTTCATACGCAGGAGGCGCCGGCGGCCCTGGCCCCCCGGCCCAGGGCCCCGGCTGAGCTCAGCAGCGGCACGGAGGGCGCCGGGCAGGGAGCACAGGCAGAGCCGCCTCTTCTCCAGGCTAAACAGGCCCAGCTCGGTCTCTCCTCATAGGACAGATGCTCCAGTCCCTTAATCACCTTTGTTGCTCTCCACTGAACCCTCTCTGGAAGCTCCACGTCCCTCATACCGGAGACCCTAGAACTGCACCCATTACCTCAACCAAGGTTGCTCATATAGCTGAAAATAATGCACATGCACTCGGGTCTCAACATGCAGGAGGACATTGCTTGATTTGTGAAACTTCATTACTTGAGGCACTATAGGAAGCCTGTTGTCATGGTCATTTATCTCCTAGGACTGGAATCTTGATATATTTTTAAATCCACAGAATGACCAAATGACAGGAATACTGGCCATAAGCACATGACAGATTATCTTCTTCTGGGCAATGCCAGACAGGTCATATTTAAAAGCAGGAGTGAGGGTGCGGCCTCAGCAGAGCTGAGCAGAGGGGCAGGATCCCCTCCCTTGCCCTGCCGGCAACATCCTCCTGATGCAGCCAGGAGCCCGTTGGTCTTCTTGGCCACGAGGGCACTGCTGCCTCATGGCTAACTTGGTGTCAAGTTCGGGAGCTGTCGCAAGGCATCTGGCACCCCTGCGCCTGGCTTAGCAGCTCTCTGCATCAAATACACTGCTGATTCTTCAAAGGACTCTAAAATCACAGTGTTTAAGGAGTCATACCCACGTTTTTCCTTACCCTCTGCTTCTGGGAGGTTTGACGGGAAATGCTGACAGGGTCTGTACCGCAGCAGCGCGGAAGGCACCGCTGTAACGCAGCGGGCTGAGCGAAGGCACCGCTGCTTTCACAAGGAGGGGCCCAGGCGCCGCCGCTCCAGTCCCGGTGGTTGCGGTGCCCGGATGGCGCCGGGGTCCCGCTCTGCCCGGCCCCGGCCTCGCTCCTCCTGCCCACGCACCTCTAGGGCTGCCCCATGCTCGGCGTTTGCACTTGCCTGCTGTGCTGAGGGCCTCTCAGAAGCAGCAGTATCAGACAGCAACCCTGGCGCTAGGGCTTCTCAGCCCACAGTTCTTCCAAAACAGACGTGTGGGCCTCAGTGAAGCCCCCGAAGCCAACACAACTGTAACGAGCCCCAAGCACTTGCAGCAGTTGTGCAGTAAAACCAAAGACAGACCTGAGCTTGGGAATCGCACCGTGCCCTTGAATGAATTTCAGGAAGAGCAGAGCTGCCTCCCCTGCAAGCAGCCCGTGTCTGTGCCCAGTGCGCTCCCTGACCGCGCAGCCCAGCAGCCTCTGCCTGCGGAGCCTGCGGCCGCCTCCCGAACGCGCACGCGCCGCGCTCTGCTGAGGCCAGAACTGATGCTGCACGCAGGGTGACAGCGCAGGGCCGGGCAGTCTCCTGCTGTTATAACTGCCCTCGCTGCACACAGCGGCCCAGCCTCCTCCCTCGAAGCCGCCGCTCCAGCAACCTCCCCTTTCCCTGCCAGGGGATGGTTTCCTCACCACGGTGCCCGTTCCCACCCAGCGCCTGGGCCCGGGCAGCCTCTGGGTCCCTCTGCGTTGAGCCCGGCCCTGGGGAAGGCGAGCGGCAGCGCTGTGCTCTGCTCTGCTCTGCTCTGCTTTGCTCTGCTCTGCTCTGCTCTGCTTTGCTCTGCTCTGCTTTGCTCTGCTCTGCTCTGCTTTGCTGCTCTGCTCCTCGCCCCGCAAACGCGTGTGCTGGGCAGCACGGGAACCTGCCGGCCAGGAGGAAGCACCACGCGGAGCCGCCTGCCCCCGTCCCCGGGGTGCCCCACATGAGTCTGGGACCGCTGCAATCCTCCCATTCCCCCTTTCCAGCAGTGCGTACGAGGCTTTAGGACCGACAAGGTTAAGGAAAAGCATCCTCAGGCAGGTCTTGCCACTCCACGAAAACCTATTTTCCTCAGTCTGAGAGGTAAATTGTTCATTACTGTCGAGGTGAAGTGCTGCACTTGCAGGTGACTCATTGAGCCGCCTGGTTCTTACAGGTACCCTGTTGTCCCGGGGCTGCTCTGTTCCTTAGGAACTCTCGACCTCCCAACCCCAAGGGCAGGGCTTCCCATGCAACACGGGGGCAGCCCAGGGAACGAGGCCTCTGGATGCAGCCAGGTGCAGCGTTGGGCACCCGGCTTCCTAAGCTGGGCGAGCGGGACCTGCTCTGCCCAGGCAGGCGCTGCTGCTGGACTGGGAGATACTTCCCCCATGGATGTGGGTACGGAAAGCGCAGCGCTCACAGCAAGTCTCCCATGCTGCAGGGAAACCCGAGTCAGGCTCATTCTGTGCTCAAAGCCGCAGCCCCACGTCCCACTGTGGGCCCCAGCCCCCGGCCCGGGAGATCCCAGTGAGGGTCCTCGGGCTCCTTCCTTCTCCTAGCCAGGGGAGGGGGGCCTGGTCCCCACCCAGGACACGTCTGCCAGTGTAAAGGACAAACGATCCGGGAAGAGGCGCTGAGCGAGACCCCAGAACAGCGGCCTGCAGTGGGGAGCAGGGAGCCCACGGCTTGCAGGGGCAGCACGCGCCCCTGCCACGGCGCCCCACACACTGCCCTCTACAATCCGGGCCTCCCTCGCCCTCGTCAGCTTCTCTCAGCGCCTGGAACGCTGGCTCTGTCAGCCTAGGGAAAGATCAACCTCAGCTATAAAGCATTCCCTTCAGGAACCATAAAAAATTAATTATTCAGCAGTGTGAGCCTTAAAGAATTTATTTTTGTTTGGCAGAAATCACCAACAAGCAAATGACAGTGCAGAGCTCTGCCTTGCCAAGACAAGGGGAGGTTCACATCAGGGCTTAATGTCATGGCATGGAAACAAAAGCCCTCTTCACTCAAAGTCTGTTTAGTATCAGCCAGATTGAAACCAAACTCGGCTTTTGTTCTGCAGGCTGCCTAGCCATGCGCTGAGCTCGACACACGAGGCGAGCCCTGCCATGCAAGACACAGCGCTGCTGCCAAAGCCAACAGGAGATGCTGAGGAGGATCCAAATGCAGTTTCTGATACCACTGCATCTGTTTCCAATGTTCCCCGTGCCGCCCGTGTGATCCCGGACACAGCTCTCCCTCAGCCCGCGCGCGGGCACGGCCCCGGCGCGGCCGCGTGTTGGGTGACGGGGGCGAAGGCGCCGTCCCGGCCGCGCTGCCGCCCTCACCGCACAGGAGCCGGCCCCACGGAGCAGCGCCGGGCGCCAGGAGCCGCGTGCGGAGCCGCGGGCCCACGAGGGCAGCCCGCAGAGCTGCTCCGTGCCCGGCTCCGTGCCCGGTGCCGGCTCTGTTGGCCTCCCTGCTCCGCTCAGGGGGGACTTTGATCTCCTAGCTTTCTGTTTTGCTTTCCGGGCTTGGTGGCTTTATAGATCATTACAGAAAGTTGCTGATTTTTTCAAAAGCTTAAGTGCCTACCTGGCCTCCTTGAGAACTGCTCTTTTCCTCACCTCGGCACTTGCTACCTGCGCATATGCTCCCTGTATGGATGAATGACACAATACACTGAACAAAGGAAAACCAGCCTGGGTTTTTTTGCATTTCCCTTCCTCCTGTTACATAAGGCAAGCCGAGCAGCCTGCAACCCGGTATTCCCGCGCGCTCTCATTTCACACAGTCCCCATCCAGCCCATCAAGTGCGCCCGGAAAGGGCGCCGTGAAGGCGAGCGGCAGTCCCTGCTCCTGCCCTGCTCCCGCCGCCGGGAACGCGGCAGCGACTGGAGGACGGACCCAGCGCCGGCCCTGCGGAAACCCCGGGCTCCTGGGCTGCCGGCACCGGGCTCCGGCAGCGCAAAATTGTGGGATGTCAGCTCTGGACAGACCCCTCGGCACCAAATATATTCCGAGCGTTTAAAATCATATGGAATAAGTTAAAGACACAGAGGTGCCAGCTGAAAAGGGATCCTCCTTTGCTGAAGAATTTAGTGGAAAATCTGCGTTTACGCTGATAAAGCAGAGAAATGCTGCACTGGGAGGTAGAGGGGGCAAAAGAGCAATCCTCAGTTCTCAAGAGCATTGCCATTACTCTAGATTTATTCTGATAAGATTTCAAACTCTGAAAGCCCAAAACCGGTTTGAAGGAGAAAAGCAGACAAGGGCCTTTGCCGGACAGGCCTTGGTGCCGTCCTGGAAGGCCGGCCCGTGTGTGCCGACAGCCGCTGCTCCAGGCAGGAAGCGCCGGGCTGGCCACGGCGCTTCCTTTAGCAAGCCCTGCACGGTAAGGGGCTACTCTCGCCCAAAGGTAACGTAACAGGGGCTTAGTGAGGAATGAAACAAAACAGCAGGGCAGCGTGAGCCTCGGCGGCCGGCGGTGCTGCGCTCTGGACATGCTTACAGGGGTATCCTGCAGGCTACATGGATACCCTACAGGAGCATCCCGCAGCTTACAGGGATACCCTATGGGAGCATCCCACTGCTCCGCAGCCCTTGCGGACACAGCGGGTCAGCAGCTCCGTGCGCTCCGGAGAGGCCCAGGGCTCTCCACACACACAGGGGCTGCCCGGTTTCCGACGCGGGAATCCTGCAAAGGGTTCATCTCCCGTCCCCTTCCCTTTGCACTGGCCCGCGACAACTTCCTGCGCTGGCACACAGCCACGAAACCTGATCTCTGAAGAATGAGCCGTTACTGCGGCACTAGCAACACTCTCTCTGCCTCCCACCGAGATTCTCAATGTTTTAATGAACAACAGCACAATATTTGAAAAATAATCCCATATGCACGTTCTGTAAACAGACCGCGGGCTCCTATACAGGCTTGACCCGAAGCGCCCCACGCTCTGCTGCTGCTGCCGCTGCCGCGAGGGGATCGCGGCGCCCAGCGGTGCCCAGGGC